ACAATACCATAACTCTGCCTTCTGAAGTTTTGCCTCACAGTGACACCTATTTGAATCCCGACATCGAGCCATGAGCGACTCACCTCTTCCGCCAAACACAGCGACTACAGATTCGCCACCCGTCGATGAGGCACGACGTGAAGCTCTCTCCGCAGCCCTCATGGAGATTTTGACACAGCATCGGGACTATGAGTCCGAAACCGGAAGTGAACCTTCCACATTCAGTGACGAGGCTCTACGCGACCAATTAGCCGAGTTTATTCTGCAAACAACCCGGCAGATTACAGAGCTAAAGCAACGAGTGGAAAGACTCGAAGCTTCGCAACAATAGGTGATCAAACATGTTTTATACCACCATTGGGTGATTGCAGCAGACGGTGAAAACAACAATCGTTGTTTTGCCAAGTGAGACAGTCAGTGCACTCTCTTCACATGTGTTTGTATGCAGCGATTGATACACTCTTTCCCGCAGCATTTTGCAAAACAACCAGTTGTGTTAGCACCATGGACCAACGCACCAGATCGCGATCTCCCACGGCATCACAATGGAGATGGCACTGGGCCACTAACGGCTCTTCATGGTGGCGTGAGTACTTCATCGCATCTGCAGAGTGGATACGAAAGCATTCGGAGCAACCTGATCAGCTTCCGACATCAACGACTCCTACCCAAAAGGAGCCAGCTTCCACTACATCAACTCCTACATCCAACAAGAGAAAGCGATCAAGAACTCCGTGAGCAGCATCGCTGAGTTGACAATTAGATGCACATTTGCTGCCCCCGGCAGTCAACAACCACACAGCAAAGCTGTGCTGTGAACCCCATCATCCCTGATGAGGGTCAACATTAAGAGCACCATGTTGAAAGGTCATGCCAGCCGGTGAGGTTGCCCAAGTGATGTATCTTTGTACATCTCTCTCTCTTTTCTGAAGATCAGCGTATGCACACGCCTTAATGCAGTTGTGACTCCGCAGCCATTTCTCAGAACTACAGTTGTTGAAACATATTTAGGATCGCACACAGATGGACGAAGACGACGACAGCAGCCTATGGGGATCCGAAGAGATTGATGCCTTTCTGAGGAAGGATGACACCGCCACATCCTCCCATGCAGTCAGTCACACACACAAGCAAAAAACAAAGCACACAACGAAGACAAAAAAGAAGAAAGACAACAAAGACAAAAAGGACAAAACAGTCGTGAAAACAAAGAAAACACGCAACATCTCACCAGCATCCCAATCCACAACACAGCAACAACGCCAACATCCACATACTACAAGACGAAAGAGGACACGCTCTTCGCACTCAACATCATCAGCGTCACCTACGGCAACGTCACACATGGCTGAGGACGCACACCGATCTCCATCGCGAGATCCTTGGTCTTCTGACTCGATTGCACCTTACGATATTGTGCATCCTATTATTCAGCATAAGCGGTCCAAAACCGCTTGTGCAAAAATGCTGGTACGTGCAGGTTTTAGATGTAGATGCCATTTCAAGATCATGAGTGACTGTCCCAACAAACTCGCTGTTGGATCCTAATACTCAGGACGGATTAGGGCTGCAAGATCCGCTAAGCGTGACAAAAAGCCTGCGCATGCGAGTGTCAGCACGACACCACTTGGTTGTTTCTCCTGAGCACACAGCATGTCCATGTTGTTTTGCATTCCTTGTTCAAGCGTTTGTCGGTTGGTAGCAGCAAAAATATGACAAAGCGAAAGGCTGCCGAGGCCGGCCTTCCATGGTACTCCATGGCAGGACAATGTTTTCGGATGACTGTTGAAATTCCACCCGACCGCATCACCAGAGACAAGCACATGCTCTTACACGTGGTGCTTTGTCTGGGTGACAACGTTCTACAAGCTCGCAAGATCTTCTCCTACCGCATCAAGGAGATCACCGGCAGAACTCCTAAAATCCCAGCTTTCTTCTTCGAACAAAACCGTCGACGACTACATGATTGGGATTCAGTCACCACATTAGCCACGTTGAAGCCGGTGCTTTTTGTTAGAACCTGTTCGGATCAGGAAATACGACAATCACCCGACCGCTAGTGACAGCGAGAAAAGTGCGCCATTCACTCTTTTTGCCACGGATCAGACATTTCACTCTACTTGAAGCATGCACGCCCCATTGGGGCTGTGTGTGTGTGAACCTCCCTAGCACATGGGAGCAGAGGGTCACTCCTACACTGTTTGCAATTTTTGCTTTGCAACTCAATCAGACATTTGACATTTACCGAATCAAATGTTGCAGGGGAGTGCGGCATGGCTGTGGGACCGCACTCAACGAAGCTACCACAGTCATGGGATACCGAGTCTGATCAACTCGGCGTACCTGCAAAACCTTGAGCTGGGGCCCCTGTGCCAGCCCGATTAGAAGGCCCCTGTGCCAAGATTAGAGAGTTTTCAGTTACCACTTTTGGCGGTTGATTTGACAACAAACAAGCTGTACGGTTGCCACAATCTGACAAGCTTTTACAACTTGAACAACATGCCTCTCTTTTTCCTCTTGCACTCGTACTCTTGGCCGAATCCATCAGTGTGAACTAAAGAGTATGTGAGTATGACGGTTTAGGGTTTAGGGTTTAGGGTTTACCAACGGCAGCGGCAACAATAATGCAACCAGCACCCACCAGAAGCGAGCATCATAACATCAGCCGAGGACCCATATAGGAGCCCAAAAGAACACGCCACAAATCGAAGAGCGTAAGCAACCAGCCCCCACCAGAAGCGAGCATCATGAGCATCAGCCGGGCTTGGGGCGAAATCAGAGCGAGCATCATGAGCATCAGCCGGTTCCCCTCCGCACCTCATGATGGCTTACCTAAGGTGTCCGAGGGCGGACACCTTAAGTTGGTTCCTTTCTTGGTTAAGGTGGCCGCGGGCGGACACCTTAAGTTTGTGATTTTGGTACCCCAAACTCCCAAACCTTAACCTGGATGCTTTGCGACGGACAGGCGTCGCCGGTTGGAGCATTGAGCTTCTGTTTTAGAACCTCAGGAAATTTGATTTCCTCAGTTTTGTGGTGAGTATTTCATGCCTCCATGATTTGCATGATGCGATGAAATCACTTGTGGCTCTGATTGCAGAGCGCTTTTGAATGAAAATTTTTGACCCACCCTCCCACCCTGGGGGGGAAGCACCTAACAATCCGTTCTTTTAGTGCACAGATAGGACCCAGATAGGAGCCCAAAGGACAGTAGCAACGACAAGCTGCAGCAGCAGCAGCAGCACCACAACCACCACCAACAACAGCAACAACAACAACAACAACAACAACAACAACAACCACAACCACGACGACGACAACAACAACAACAACAGCAGCAGCCCAGGCAGCAGCTAGCAACAACAGCGACATGCAGCGACAGCAACAGCAACTGCAGGCTTGAACTCACTGGGTTTATGGTGCGGGGAAGTGGCCTGAGCCTGGGGGTCTTCTGGCTTCAAGGATTTCAGGTTTGGTACACTTCTCGATTGTGCGTTTCAGGTTTAGGGTTTAAGGGTTTAAGGTTTACGGTTTAGGGGTTTCTCCCATGCACCCCCATCTCTCCTGCTGGTTGTCCTCCTCCTGCACAAGCAATACTTGCGTCTTCTCTCGATCGGAAAAGCAGCATCGACTGGAGATGTCACCAGTTCTTCCACGGTGTATGCATCTTGAAGTACTTCGAGTAGCAAATCTGTGGGGAAAGACCACACATTCTCGTGCAGGAAAAGGTCTGGGAGGGTTTCAAGGACCATGCGGAGGAGTATGAGCAAATACAAGACAGTGGGGCCAGCTGCATGTTGCTGGGATCCAAAGGATGACCAATCTGTACAAGCCGAACCCCCAGCCAGCAATCTCAGGACGCGCACCCCTTCCGGAGCTCGCTCCGGATACAGAATCGGCAGCCTGCCCTGGCAGTGTTGTCCATGCTTCGAGCATCTTAGTTAGTCAACCCACACGCGCATAGAGCTATCTGCCATCATACCAGGATACCAAAGACGAGGTGGACATGACTGCAAACATCAGACAGTCATAGCCAAGTTGCGGACACAAGTTAGAAAGTGGACGCGACCGGTCCATCACTGTCGCCTTCATTTCATTGAAGGTCTTCCTGCCCGATTCTATGATGACGATGAGTCACTGATGATTCAATGTTAATGATAATGATAACGGCTCCGCTTTGGGCCTGCATGTCAGGTTCCGAAAATGATGCTGACGATGATGATGATGATGATGATTCACTGAATGTGACGAACCGATAACGATGATGATTATGATCACAATGAACAATAGCCAATAGCTGAGAAATGATCTCCACACTCACCCGAATAGGTTTCGTGAGTGGAGCAGGTTGGCAAGTGCGCCGCCAGACAGAATGCCAGACAGAATGCCAGACGGGGAGAATGCCAGACGGGGAGAATGCCAGACCGTCTGGCATTCTCCAAGAGCAGTTTGACTGTAGAATGCCAGACCGTCTGGCATTCTGTACCTTCATGCTGTCTGGCATTCTGTCTGGCATTCTGTCTGGCATTCTCCTACTGCTCTTCCCTGCCTCCCACCTATTGCGCACAACCCTCACCGAAACCTCAAATCGAATCCAAACTGAATCCCAACCATCGCGAGGACATACGGACGATTCCACGGTAATACGTGGGTCAACAGAAGTAACAACAGACGAACCAGATAACGAAGGAACGGCCCGCCATGACTGAAGTGACCCAAACACCGCAAACTAAACCAATCCCAATGCGCAGCCCTGAACTCGAAATTCCTCCAAACAAATCCTCTTTGTACCTCAGTCCTGACTAGTGAATCCTCAACCCCTTCCTTCTAACACCTCAACCCCCAAACTCCAAATCCCAACGGCCCAGTCTCAATCCGAAAAGTATAGTCCACCACTCCTGCGATGAAACACAAAGCTCTTCGTAGATTCCACCGGGGAATCTGCCAGCTCCTCCAGGGCGCTTGATGGCTCTAGTTAGGATTTGCTTTGGAACTGAATTGCATCATGATAAGGCATGCGTGCCGGATGCCTGCATTGCTCTCTTGGCATTCAAAAGCTGATCATCTGGATTCTGCTCTACGTCTCCGACCACCGACATCAGCTGGTAGTCTTTGAGTGCATTGCCCACCCCCGCCTTCAATGTGTGAAAGGTGTCCTCCTTTCGGGACTCTCGCTTGAAAAGTACTTCTATGTCTACGAGCACGGAGCCACCAGAAGCATCATCACGTTGCAACGCCTGGGTATCATCACCAGGCACTCCCATAACAGATGTGCTCTCCGCGGCCGTCATGAAATTAAAACTTCCGCACGCTCTGGTCACATCGCTGCTCGTCATCAACACCTGGACGGAAGCTGGTTTCTTTATTCATGACAGTGAACATCGCAACGTGAGAGTGGGTTAAGTCAACTTGCGCCGCTACAGCCGGGCCTTCACAGGAAGACGTGCTTGACATTCTGCAAGAAGGCCAGCATCACACACGTGCGAAATGTCAGAAAACACATGGGTTGCACCTGATGTGTTTGACAAAAGAGCAGTCTGAGCCGTAGCGTCCCAGTCTCCTACAGAGACAACATCCAGGGTCAGCATGCCCTGCGACGCATTGCAGATCGCAGCTGCTGCAATCTCAGCGGTGCCAGCTCCCGAAAATTCTGAATGTAGCTGCAGATGCAGCCGGCTCTCAGGAGGATGCTGGGACAGCAACTTCTTCATCAAATGACCGGGCCATGCAAAGGCACCAGCCAATGGCTTGTCGCCACCAGCCAAAAACACTGCTGTCTTGTTTGCTGGTTGTCTGGGTCCCTTCTTCTCTTTGTGCTGCTTAGGCTCCCTGGGATTGGATCCTCTACGCATGGCCGTCCAGCTGATCTTGCGTGCTTTGGGTGTCTTCTGTTTGGCTTTGGCCCTGGCCTTTATTGCTGTTGCTTTGGATTTTGCCTTCGTCTTTGCTGATGCTCTGGATCTTGCTTTCGCTTTTGCTGATGCTCTGGATTTTGCTTTGGCCTTTGCTGATGGTGTGGATTTGGCCCATGCTGACTTTGCTGTGGCCTTGCGTTTGGCTTTCTGCTTTGCTTTGGGTTCGGCGGCGGGGCTGTCTCTCCTGGCGCTGGCCGTGGCCGACGGCTGGGGATCAGTGAGGCCTACAAGGGGGAGATCATCGAACACATCGCTGAAATGGGTTTCACTTGTTTTGGGAGGCTGCTGATTCGGTGGCCCAGGTAGGGCATCAGATGCATCAATGATACTCCAGCATGACCCATCCATCACATTGCACGGAGGAAAAATGCAAGTAAAGTAAGTAAAGCGCAGACACAAACACAAACCTGGCTCACAACGATGTTCTTCTTGGTAGCTGCTAGTTCCTTCGAGCTTCGAGATTAAACGAAACGAACCGAAGATCATGGAATGTCGAATTCGTGGTGGCGCCTACATATTGTACATGCCTAGAGCCTGCGAACGCTGAGCGAACGGGAGGCATCGGTCATGTGTCGCATCGGCCAATATGGTGCAGTTGAGTTTGCACAGGCTCCGTCAACACAGCAAGAATTTGTTTGTCTATCTCGCACACCCTAATACGTCTGCAAGTTGATAACGTTTGAACAACAGAAGGCTCGAGCTGAGCGAATCAAGCCAAGCCAGATGCAACACGGGTCACCGCACTCACCGCACATCCTGCTACAACGTCTACACCTTACCTGAACACAGTAAGAGTACCAATAGGGCTTGCAGGTGACCCGACGACAGCGTTGAGCTGCAAAATTACAGGGTTAATCAATACAATGTTCCTACCAAAGCCATAACTACCTTCAGGTGGCGGATTCGGATGCCCTCCAGGGGCCCCTGATGCAAATGTACCCGTACCATGTCCGCTGGCGGTCGCAGCATGTGAGCCATCAGGAAAGGACGGCGGCGGCACCATCACAGAGCCACGATGTCCCCACGACGAAGCATCCGACTCTGACCCTGACAAGCAGCCTTGGGAATCGGACTCATTACTGCCACTCTCGAGGCTAGCCGGTCCTCCTCGACATGGCCCAGCTGCATAATCTCCATCTGGTTGCGGACCGAACTCACTACCAGAGGGCTGCGACTCAACAACTGTAGGTGGGTTCGCTGGGAGATCAGTATCACACCCAACAAACTCGTCAGCACTGGAAGCATCAGACTCATCAGATTCGAATTCCAAGGTGTCAGCACCTGAAGTGTTACAGCTGTATGCCTCAGAGTCTTCAGAGGAGGCACAGTCATCAGACAGTGCCAAAGTTTTCAATCTCTTGCTGGGCCTAGATATTGCACCCTGACCCTGCATCGCTGGATCTGTATCGACGCGGTCTTGCAGCTGCGGGTTCTCCTCCTCCGAGACGAGATCCAATATCAATTCTGGCGCCGCTGAGTTCAACGGGACTGGGAAAGCCATTTTGGCTACTTCACTTTCACTTGACATATGTCGGGCTAATGCATGTGCCTGTGCAACTGCCGCAGCGTGAGCCTCAAACAAAGCAAATGGACAAATGCATTGCACAGAACTGCCACCGAGTGAGCAAAGAGACCGAGAGCATTTGACGCATTGCCCTCTCACTTTCACACAAACCCTCTCTCTCTCTCTCTCTCTCTCTTCTCTCTGACTCTCTCTCTCTCTCTCTCTGTCTCTCCCTCCCTCCCTCCCTATCTCTCTCTCTCTCTCTCTCCCCTCTCTCCCTCTCCCTCCCTACCTTCCTCGAACTGCGTCTAACCAAATCTGTCTCGTCTTCAGAACATGAACAATACAATGGTGTTTGCTGTCCCCTTTCGGCATGCATCAACTCAAGATGTGCGGGGAGTGCGCTTGATGGCACTATCGCGGCTCCTGCTGCTGCAACTGTGACACAACCTCAGCATAATAAAGATTCAAAATTGCACTCTCCGCATTGCGTTTGGATTTGTATGCCTGACCTGCTCCGTATATAAGAACACCAGCATCCTCTGCCATACGAAGTGCCATCTGAACGTTGCTCCTCTCCGAACCGAGCAATGCCTGCGGTCTCCTCAAGACACGCTTCAAGTACGGTAGGATTCGATTGATCGCTTCCCGATGATGCCTGGCGTGTCTGCCGCGGCCCCATCCACCCCCACCACCACCATGCCGCCGCCTATCAGCGGAATCAGCCGATGAAGATTCAGACGAGGACCCATCAGAACTACTGCTGCTGCCGCCGCCGCTGCTGCTGCTGCTGCTGCTGGAATCCGACGACTGAGAAGATTCAACTGGTGGTGGATCAGCGTGATCTAGCTCTGCTAACAGGTCAACAGCTGGGTGACAAGGCTCCAGCTCAGCTTCACATTTCTGACGTTTCTCGGGGCTGTCACTTGACACCGACCACACAGAAGATTCCACAGCTGCCGAGTTCCGCTGCGGGTAGCACTTGTCTCCAGGACGGAGCTTTCTCTTCTGCCTCATATTTAAAAAACCTCCCTGCCTCCGCCCCCACCCCTAAACTAAACCCCCCAAAAAAACAAAACTCTCACTGCTGACGCGGTGCACACTTTGTCGGGCAATGCTCGGGTCATGCAGAGATCTTGGCTTTTGGGGTTGGCGTTGTCGCGCGGTAAGTCTGAGACGTGGATCATTCGGGATCTCTCCTCCAAGCGTGCGGGCAGGAAGAATATGAATGAGTGTGAGAGAGAGAGAGAGAGAGAGAGAGAGAGAGAGAGAGAGAGAGAGAGAGAGAGAGAGAGAGAGAGAGAGAGAGAGAGAGAGAGAGAGAGAGCGAGCGAGCGAGCGAGCGAGCGAGCGAGCGAGCGAGCGAGGGAGGGAGGGAGGGAGGGAGGGAAGGGCATACGTTAATGAGATACCAGAACTGAAACTGAAGAAAGCAGAGATAATCGGCGGAGTTGAATCCTACCCTGAAGCCTGGCACCCGAAAACTCCAGCCCCAAAACGCCGGACCCTGACACCTTCAACATAAACCTCAATGCTTCTACACCAGATCGAAACAAGTTACAAGAAGCCCTTGACCCAGCAAATCACCCAACCCCAAATTTTCCCAACTCAGCCCTCAACCTGAATCCAAACCGATTCGGAACACCATAAGGCTCATACTCGCTCTGTGCCACCCTTCGCTAACTGTTGCAGCAGGTGCTTCCTGCAAGGAACTGACAGAGCTCGCCGTAAAAGTCGTTGTTCTTGTTGGGCGGAACATACGAAGCAACCTTGGGCGGAAACATCAGGTGAGAGATGAATGCATGCTCACATGCTGACCTCAAGTCAAGGGAGTCAAGGGGCGAAGGGTTCGCGCTGACAAATCAGCACCAATGCATCATAATACAGTTTCTTCTGGTTGTGTGAGAAAGAATTTTGTTCGGTCAGGAGCAGTATCTGCTCCTCGTAACTCAGAAGCAACTTGTAGTATTCTGCATGTTGAACTCCCATCATCTGCTTGTCTCGCACTGAACAGGAGCCAGCTAGATCTCTAGTCGCCCAACCACGTTCGAGAAGTGACTCTCGAAGTTCCAATGCAGTTTCTCTTGCGTCGGCATCCACACTGACAGGACGGCACAACACAAGCGTCGTCGCAAGAGCACATGAAGTGAGATACAACTTCCCGTCTTGTAAGCTCGTCAACCCATGCTCGCGCATCAGCGAGAGCTCAGCTTCAAGCTTGCCGCTGACAACAAGATGCTGGGGCACCATGCAGTTCTGGCCCGCGGCAGCCAGGCCGATTTTCTGAATCTCTGACCTTACTCATACATGGACATGGACAGGTCAGGTAAACCTTCACCAAAAATTCAGCTTCGCTGCACAGAAACACCAAGGAATGATTGTTATAACATAATACGAGAAACAGACTCGCGGAAATTGCGTTTGGGGAGTCCACTCCTTGCAGCCGGTCAATAACAGCATCGTCCCACGACTGTCGCTGCGTCACCTCCGTGGCGACACCCGAGCTCGTATCCTAAACATACCAAAGCAATACGTCTACTAGTAACTTGCCAGAACAGGCAGTAGCAGCAGTGAGAATAATATCATAGACAAGAGCCCTGGCACGAGCACCAGTACTACCGCTACCGGCGCACTTGTTACTCACATATTGCCAACACACAGGGCGCCTGACGGTACTCGGCCAAGCTGAAAATGTTTTTAGATTCGACGAGCGAGTGGATGTTGAGCGGGACAACCCTGTCGGCGGTAAGCCTGGGCTATTCCATTCAAGCCATGCAAAAGCAACGAAGCTGTGGTTGTGTATTGCAAACCAAGAAGTTCAAGGGGCTGGGTCACCACTGCACCTGTGTCGTCAGGCGAGCAGGCATGGCAGATATTCACCGCAACGCAATCTTTCCAAGCCTCAGCTCCATGATACAGCACGGCACGCAAGAAACCCTCACGAACGAATGTTCAGAGTCCAGAGAACCAAGCAACATCCCGGCCAATGCAGCAAATACGCTGCACGTAAGAGCGTCTCTCTGGATGCATGCAAACACACTGGAACGATATGGCTGTGCCTTCTGTCTGCAAAACCATGCGGTAGTACTTCCCAGATTGCAGTCTTGCCTTGATGTGATCCCACCGCATGGCCCGCTCAGACTCGGATGCTGGCGCATCGAGATCCCTGCGCATTCCCGCAACTCTGGCTGCACGGTCACCGCTCATCTTCAACAATGCTTCCTTGGCCGCTTGGATCTGTGTGGCCAGCCCGGACACATCTCCATGCATGGAGTCAATCGAAAATCCATACACATGGCGAATCAATTCCTGAGATGCCAATGCACTCGCAGCACAACACGACGGGAAATTCAGCATTGCTGTGCAAACACAAAACCGCGGAAAAGTTCTGTTACGACGGAGAGTCGTTTCGCGAATCCCATTTCACAGCAAGCAGTTTTGGCAAGCTCTCTACATACTTGTCGATGTGTTTTCTGAAAGACTGAGTTTCCAAATCCTTGTTACTGCGTCTGCGCAGGGATGCGCAAAGTGAAGCTGGAAGCGATGCACGGGCATTTGACATCCGGGTGTTGACATAGTGATGTTGGGCTTCCAGCCGTTGCATCGTCGTGAGGGCACTGGTATATTTCATCAGTTCTTTCGCCAACATTTGCGGCATATCATGCGAAGGCGAACGACTCCAATGAAGCAGATGTGCATACAGACCGTTCTTGTGAGACGGGTCGAGGAACTTCTGGGCCATTTGGAAATGATGTCTGTCACGAAGTTTGCCCTGATTCCATTGCTCAATGGCATCCAAAGCGAAAGCTTTGCTTGCAGCAACCCGATCGGGTGTGTTGTGAAAGAGTGGCATACCAACAGCACACAGGCGCCACGGAATTTCTCTCCAATACCCATAGACCTGCTGAAACCTCTGAACCTTTGCTATTTTGCACGTCCGAAAGTCTTCGATCAACGTTTCGGAAACGTTTGAGGGAAGACTGTCCAAGAAACCCTGGGCGGCGCCTGGAGGTGCATGGACAAGCTGCCCACTGAAGGTTGGTATCCAAGTACCCTGTGCAAGAACGACAGACATGCGCCCTTTCCAGCAACAACCCTTACAACTGGGTTCACCGGCTTTGTACCCGTGCAACGGACAGCTATGGAAAAAAGCAGAAATACCAGCGCCCCAATCTGCAAGCTGCCATACCAAAAAGGCAACCGCCCAGAACTTCACAGCAACCTCATCTGAGAAGTCTTGCTTGCAGATCGACCCTATGATGGCAATCTCTTTCGGTGTGAAGTCATGACCACTGTTGTTGCTGCTGCCGGAGTCAGTCTTTGTGGTGCTCACGCCCGCTAAGTCACTACACAAATGCGCAAGCGCTTCTCGACGCGGTAATAACCAAGATAATACCTCGTGCCTGGGAGCGGTTCTGGAACGATCACACACTCTGAGCTTCTTGCAGTAAGGGACAAAAGCGGACTTATTGCCTGCCCAGATACAGATAACCCCAACGTGTGGATACCATGGTCGGACAGGTGCTGTTGAACATCTCTTCGAAAGACTTCTTCAGCCGGATGCCCTGAGATGCACGTCCATGCGTTGCAGAAACAGAAGCATCAATAGCAACAAGGTTCAGCTTGAGTGTGATTGCTGCCTCGTGACCTGAATGCATGGGTTCTGTCGAACGCAGACACTAACGAATCGGTCACATCGTGCACGAATGCTAAACCAGCGCGAGAGGGCATTCAATTGATCAAAGAAATGCCCCCAATCAAAGTAGTTCTCCATAATGTGCATCACCTGAGCTGCGAGTTATCATTTATAAAGACACGATTGTGTCTGGTAAATTTGGTGTCCATCGCACGAATCTGCATGCTCCCTCTGGCATCCCTCTCTCTCTCTCTCTCTCTCTCTCTCTCTCTCTCTCTCTCTCTCTCTCTCTCTCTCTCTCTCTCTCTCTCTCTCTCTCTCTCTCTCTCTCTCTCTCTCTCTCTCTCTCTCTCTCTCTCTCTCTCTCTCTCTCTCTCGCGTACATACACAGTCATAAACATATCCTTGGGAGATCTTGAGAGATCTTGCGGTATCGGGAGAGTGATGGAGAGGGGTTTGGTGTTACATACATACCAGTACACGGCACGAAATTCCAAGACACATGATGTAGAGAGTGGTCACAATCGGGAAGTGGCATGCAATACTTGAACAGCACAGCGCTGGCAGCGGCAGCGTCATGAACAGCACTGGCACCGTTGCTCCTCTCTCCCTCATCGACAATGTTCGGTAAAAACCACGCAGCCGACTCCACCCCGAAGTCCGTGAGCAGAGATGCCACCCTCTCAGCGGTAAAGGACACCTGTCCATTGACTCAACCCTGGACCCAAACACACAAAGCAGGTAATTACACGTAGATACTCTGCGACTCGACCCACTACCGCACCCACCTGCTCCGACTCCAACGTCAAGCTGTGCAACAGCTTGTCAAGCTTGTGAGCTTCGCTTCCAGCTCGGGAACCAACGCACTGGATAGGAAGCAGCCGCTTTTGAATTACTGTGGAAGCAGCATCAATACCATACTGTATGTAGTCTGCCTGCAACACAAGATAGTCCCGTCCAAACTGCGGGCTAGAATCGCAGCGAAGATGCAAAACCCACGGCTTTGCCCGATCTGCTTTCAAGGACAACAGGTGCTCCCTCGCCCATAACATGCTGCACATGTCGAAGGTGATTCTGGCATCGTACAAGCACGGCGCCTGCGGCAGACGCGCTTGCATCAGCTCTTGTTTGAAGTGTTGAAACATGACGGGGCGCATGAGCATCCGGCATGAGTGCAGCATAGCAGTCGTCAACAGAGATGGCTCTGTCAGTGTATCACACATCAGAACGGCATCCAACAAAAACTTCGGCAGATAAGTGTACCCTCCGATCAGCTTCTTTTCCCCAGATGTTGGATCAGTGCGTGTCCTTGTCACTGTTCCGCATCTTGCATCCAAAGCTGATTCGATTTGCAACAAGGCACGCCTTGCTGCTGCAGGGTCACTTGCATCTATGGCTGACCTAGTCTTCTGCAGAAGGCATTGCACTGTTGTACGGTGGCGCTGATGCTCATCAGAGCCCGCTGGTGCCGACAGGTGTTGCTGCTGTGGGCTTGGAACCGCAGATATCGCAGATCCGGACCTAGCGATATTTAAGCGATAGAACACCATACTTCTGTTTTGAAAAGCACCGAGGCCATCGCGTGCCGGACACTCTCCGAAGACCTCCTCTAGCTGACTTACAGAATACCTGTCGCCAGCATCAGTTTGCATCAGAAGAGCAGACAACATGTCGCCGAACTGATAGATGTCCTGTAAAGGCAGGCGGGACAAGTGCCTGCGTCCCTTCAATGTTCCGTGCTGCAATAAACATGTTGACAGGGGCGGAACCAACCTTGCCACAAACATGCTTTCTTCATCGCCAATGAATTCTCGAGCTTTGGATAGATAAGGTTCGTGCAATCCTCTCACGACCAGCTTTGTATAAGCAGACGATTCGACGACCAAGCCCCAAACTGTTGCAGTTGCTGGCAACCGAATCTTAGCTCTTGAAAGCTTTCCTCCAGTATCCGCAACCATGGCAGCAAGCCCCCTGGAGGTGAAACTTAGCCCACGATGCCAACAGAATCACAACTTTACCTGAATGATTTCATATTCGTGTCAGACGGATCACCCGAGCCACTCTATTGACATTGATAACTATCGAATTTTCTAACCTTTGAAGCTGAATTCGCCAACATATCCCTCTTCAGAGCTGGCAACGCCTCCTGGCAATCACAAACCTGCTTCTACTGGACCATCAAATGCATCAAGCGCTTATCCCGCAGTTTTTCGGTGCATTTACGATGTGATTCAAAGGAGCCCTGAACAAACTTCGGACTTTTGCAAGTACTCTGAGCCTGAAAGTCACGACGATCACACATGCTTCGCATGCTCTCCGAGAAAACTACACGAGTGGTCAAAAGCTACCAAAACTGTTCTAGCAAAATAAGAGTACAGGGCATAGGGGAAAATGTTGATCACCCCGCCCGGACATCCCCAGTGACTTAGACTGGAAGATGTTCGCATCAACATACAGCGTACGATACATCACAGTAGCGACCACTTCTTACTACAGTACACGGCTCAACAAGTCAGCGTAGCTACGATCTAAAGTCGTCTATACACTACGCGCACTCCATCAAAGGCTCGGACAGCCTATGACGAAATGCAAGCTTGACTCACCCAAGCGTAGGCGTTGCAAGTTCAAGCGCTCCTGTCAAGAACCAAACAATTCATGGCGGATCATGCATCATGCTTAGCATTGATGCCCGGGATTATAGCGGCCTAGTTACCGCTGAAAGCTCATCACGAGACTTTCTTTCGGAGTCATGACCGCTCCACGGTCAACACAATCGTTGTTCAGACATAACTAGATTGACACCAAAATGGTGTATCGTGCACAGTCTTGCACGCTCCAAGGATGGTTCACACATCAAGGTCAAGAATGATTCACAGGTGGTTTTCTGAAGCTATGTACAATCGTCGCTGGTCGTCAATGACACACACACAAAGGTAGTGCCACTGACTATGTACAGATGGCCAATGCATCAGCATCATGAGCATTCAAGACACAAGTGTGTTGCGACACGCAATCCAAGGATCATCACTTTTGTTTCTTGCTGCCACCAAAGCAACTTCCGCACGGCTTGTAACCTCGCTCACGGGCTGTGGCGATTCCAAGCTTCACGATCTCATCAGCATTGTTCAGACAAGTACAATTCCTACTTTTGTGGTACGACTTGCCTCGTCTCAAAGTGCAATAAACATGCAACTCAGGCACATGCTGGATCACATCGTTGGAACCGCGTGCGGCATCGCCATCTATGAAGATAGCACGGTTCGGCTCTGGCATTGGCAGCGTTCTCTCTCTTGTTCGATCTTTCGCCTCGTGGTATTCTCCCCAAGCGATACGGTCGTAGTTCATTTCAGCGATCAATCTGCTCAAGCGCTCGTTCTCCTGCTCAGCGGCATGCAGTGCGGCTCGCACCCGTCGCAGGCACATCATGATTGCCAGGCAGAACGCTGAAAGGCTGCAGGTGAAAGTCAATGGAACCCAATTCCACCAACCGTCGGTTCCCTGCTCATAAACTTCTTCGGTGGAGGTGCTGGCATTGCTCACGTTCAAGGTGATGTCATCTTCATTGCCCTCTGTGGTCCATAGCCGCCCAAGGCTCAAAGATTTCAAGGCAAGAAGGATAGCACATGTGCAAATCACCAAGACGGCCAGCGACTGCGCCCACCGTGCATCATCATCGGTCTGCACACCGACTTCACGCCTGGTACCACTGCTCTCGGCACCTTGCACAAGCGACAGCATCATCACCATCATTGCAGTGCTGAAGCTCTGCATCCCGTTGCTCTTCAGGGTCTTACACACAAGTCTGCGAACTCTCTGTGTTTCACGCTCACGCTGCAGCTGCTCCAACAACGCATCATGCTCTGCACGGCCTACCTCCTCTATGCAGTCACCCGCACAGCACACAAAGTCATGCATGCACAACAAAGCACGTAGGCGGGATCCTGAGCACGGCACCTTGGTTCCCAGATCCGATGGGTTCCTTCTCCCATCGACCGGCTGTACACGGAGTGTGCGATCGGCTGTCTTCTCCTGCACCCAGAGGAACCTTCCATCAAGATGCCTGATCTTTGATACACCCTGCTTCAAAGATATCTGGCGACAGGAGCTGTTGTCAGTCCTCATCAAGAGATCTACCGGTAGTTCAAGCAGGTATTCAAGAACTCTTTTCAGGTAGATGCCGTCGCACGCCGCGGATACCAGGGCGTAAAATTCGCTTTCCGCACTACTGAGGCTTACGCAGCGTTGGCTCTTACAGGAAGTATAGACGCAGCAGCTGTTCAGAAAGAACGAGCTGCTGCTCATCGACCTGCGAGTCTGCTTGTTGCCGCTCCAGTCTGCATCACAGAACACCTCCAGCAGAACGCCATCAAGACACTCCTCGGCATCAGGTGGCTCAAGAATGCTTGCTCGATCGCCCTTGGCATGCACCTTGCTTGCGTAGCCGGCCGTTCCAACAAGATACCCTGCAAGGCGTTGCGCAAACTGCCAGCCGCGCTCGGTCGGTGCTTTAAGGTTCTGGGCTAACACCCTCACCGTGAAAGCAATGTCACTCCGATCCTGTGACACATACATGCCTATCCCAACGGCGCTGCGGTACTTGGCTGCTCGAGCAGAGTCCAGCTCCTTGCTTGCATCCGGCATGAGAAGCTCCTTGGTGCACGGCGTAGGGAACTTTCGATGCAACGGCACATCAAGAAGGTTTGCCATATTCACAGCATGGTCCGCAAGTGGCTTTATCAAGATCCCATCATCAAGAATTATGTGCTCTCTTTTAAGAAACTTGAAGCTGTCTCCGGGCATGCAGGCTACCTCGTAGGACACTTCAAAGGTTTTCTCAAAGCTTGGGACTAGCTCTTTAAGAAGCCACTGGACAAACCCAACCAGGCACAAGTCATCTACATGTATCAACCCGGGGTTTACACGGCCCTTGGGATCAACGATCTTATACACCGATGGGCACTCAGCACAGCTTGTGAGCTTGTGCTCCTCGCGGATGTAGTTCATGATGAATTGATGCCATCGGGCTGTCCCGTCCCGCTGTCCAGGGAGCATCTTGAGAAACCGCATTCGGCTTGCAAATCCAGGGATCTTGGCCAGCATGGGACGCTCCTGAGGGACGTTAAGAAAAGCGTCACGCACATCAAGCGCGATCACTCCTATGCGGTCGGTCTCATCAGGAGACTCTCTGGCTCGCCGGCTGAGCTCGCAATACAGCCACGGCAAAAGCTTGGTGGTGATGGCTGACGTTGCTGGTGCATAAAGATCCTCTCTGTCCCGCTCCAGCCACCGGTACTCGCGAGCTACCAGCCTGGACCGTCTAAAGTACATCATCTTGTCTTTGTGCAGTTTCTTACGCCATGTCCTCACGAACTTCGAAGACAATTCCTTGTGGTCCGACGTGTCCACTTCATCCCCGATCTCCTCAAGGACGCCTTTGCGAAGCAAGCGCTGCACCTCGAAAGAATCAGCGATTCGATCAAGCTCCTCTTGCTGTTGCTCGGACAAATCAGGGATCGAATCATACCAAAGACACTCTTCGTTGTCAAGGGCATGGCTGTCCTCAGTGTTGGTCACGTCCCATTCAGCTGCAGCCTCATCTGACAACTCAAGATACCTTTCAGCATCCTCCCACTCAGGGGTTGATTCAAGAACCTCATCATTGATGGGAAGCTCCTCAGCTCCAACCCTGGCGATGCGCTGGTACTTGGATGCCTGCCCACTGGGCTGCAAATCGATAGCATCTTGCGCCCGCTTTGCAACATCGATGAGAAGATCATCATCTGTCATCGGTATCACCGGCGTTCCGCCTTCAGGAGACGGCGGATCAGAAGCAGCAACTTCCATTGGTGATTCAAGCGGCGCTGGGGCTGCAGCAGGCTCAACAACACTTGTCGGAGCACGATCAGACCGGTCAAGAAGAAGCGTGGCTCTCGAAGAAGGCGCTGGGGTCCCCGCCGCAACGCTTGGCGGTTGCACTGACTCAGCTGGCACAGGTGCAGGAGGGATCCCCGCCATGGCCGGCATGTCTGGCATTCTTGGCGCCTCAACCTGAACCTCACCTTGGGGAGCATCGGGCTCACCCTTGTCAGCTGGCTTGGGCACGCGATGCCTAGCCTGTGGAACAACCTTTGTGCCAAGCAAACCAAGCTGATAATCCCAAGGAAATCCTTTGGCATCAATCGCCAGACTCTGCTCGGACTCCCACGGCTTGTCATTTCGCCTGATTGACTTGGTGAGCCACACTCCTGCAGAGTTGCACAAAACATACATATCATTGCTTGGACTCTTAGTCAGCATGAGGGCTCTGTGCCATCGGCGGTCGCCTTTGTGCTTCCCTTTTCGGTAGCCCCAGACGGGCTCGGCATACATTCCAAGCTTGCCTGAATACCTGAACCCTGTTGCTCGCTCAAAAGCGGTGGCACCTCCTCTGACAGCAAACCTGTTAAGGATGAACGCTGCATGCACGTAACTCCATGCCATCAAGGGGTGACTGGGTCCTAGGTGATCAGGGCCTAAACCGAACTTGGCACGGGCCTGGTCAAGGAAAACATTGGAAAGCCCTCGCAGCAGATCAACCGTCTTTTCCACATACCCTTTGGAGGCATGGGACTCGACAGCAGCATTGCGCACAACGGTTTTGAAGTTCAATCTTGTTCGGACACCGATGATCAAGTTTTGCAGCGCGACAGTGCTCGGCTCATTGTCGGTCTGGAGGGCAATCGTGTTATGCCCCAGCGACTGCACAAATCTGGTCAGTTCGATCGCTGCAAATTTCAAATCATCTTTACCCTTGCTTGCAACCGGAAGTCCGAAAACTGAACCTGTCGCTGTATCGTGCGCTACTAAAATTGTGAGCTTGTGGTGCTGAAGGTCTGAATCATCTGTGGTCACGGAAGTGTAACAGAAGTCGAAGCTTACAATTGGAGTGTCCCGGTCGGGACTGTCGGGGATCGACTGG